CTCATCTTCATCACTCATTCCTTCTTAACTCCCTTCTTCTACCCATTACATTTTTCATTTCTTTTATCCATTTCCGCCCTTTCCCCGGCAACTCATTCAATTTAAAACCACCTCAAGCAAAGGTTTCCACCACTGCTATTCGCTCGCACAAAAAATTCAGCCTGACATGTTTCAATAAATACAGAGATAATAAAACATTTAACTGCTTTATAAATTCAGAGAAAGTGAGAAAGCATACGAGCGCTATACACAGTGCAATGCAAAAGTTATTTTAGAGTATGCAAATACGAATTGTTGAGAACGAATTATGTATTGACAGAGTATCACCGAAGTGATTTGGGATGAGTGGAAAAGAATTGAATATGAAGGAATAAGCAATGTACAGCGTATTGAGGAAGTGAGTTTAAATGTTTGAATACGAATACAATGTGTTCGTATATGTGATCGATAGTCTATTGCGAATATTATTTTTTAGTGCTTGAACATCATAGCGTGTGAATACGAATAGAATATATAAGCGTATTAGCTCAAGACAGTGTATAGCCAATATGGGTATTGAAAGTCTGAATACAAATTGAGTTTGAACGAATAAGCTTTGTATTGCAGAACTGAAATAGTACCTATATAATTTAATCGGCGAATAAGAATTGAATGCGAAGAAATTTACCTTTCCAAAGATACGCAAAAATGCTGTAAACATCCCAAAAACTTGAATGATGGAAAATAAGAAGCAAATCAATATTATGGGAATAGATGCACAAACTAGATGCATATAAAGATATTAAAACAGTTTATTAAACAGAATACCCACTATAAGCATATTCTTATTTTGTACAGTTTCTCGAAGAACGTATCTTCCTTGAACGTCTCTCTCTCAAAAAATCTCTCACCAGTGAATAATAGTTCTCTGTATTATGTAGTTTTCTGTATTGAACGCCTCACCCAAGTTCTCTGTATTGAACGCCTCACCCAAGTTCTCTGTATTGAACGCTTCACCCAAGTTCTCTGTATTGAACGCCTCACCCAAGTTCCTGTCTCTTATACACATCTAGATGTGTATAAGAGACAGTGACTGGCATGGAGACGCGACTGTCACGTGACTGGCATGGAGACGCAACTGTCACGTGACTAGCATGGAGACGCGACTGTCACGTGACTGGCATAGAGACGCGACTGTCACGTGACTGGCATGGAGACGAGACTGTCACGCGACTGGCATGGAGACGCGACTGTCACGTGACTGGCATGGAGACGAGACTGTCACGTGACTGGCATGGAGACGCGACTGTCACACCAACTTTATGAAAACTGAAATTTTCTAATAGAACTAGAATTTGAAAATCGCATATAACAGAATTCTATTGCTTATAACGTATCTGCTGAGTTACGGTCAACTGTTACAGATGCTGCAACACTTGGCTTGCAGCCGTACAGAGCGCAGCTGCAGCAGCTCGTGAGTGACGCAGCTGCGTTTTTACGTCTGCTGATCGCAATCACGACGCCGAGATAACGCTTGAGATGCGTCATGTGGGGGGGGAAGGGGAGACCGGGAGAGAGGGAGAGAAGGGGATGACGAAACAGAAAATAGAAGCAAGAGTCGTGATCATGAAAGAACGATATGAATGTAAAGCCGTGGATAACTCCACTATTCTATAGCAGGAAATTCAGAATTCTATAATAGGAATATGATGAAAATTGGGCTTTAAAAATTTTGGATGGCTCTGAATCGCGTTCCATGATCGCAATTATGTAATCATGCAAGTTATGTAAAGTCTATTAATACCATTTTATTTAGTTCTTTTTTGTGGCTTCTCGTACTATTTCAACTTGAGAAGTATAAATGTTATTGCAGGAATGCGAAAAAAGTATACCCCCTCCCTATCACTCAAATCGACCACCATAGAAGTAGTTTTAATGCCTGTAGTTTCATGTACAAATACTGCAGGAATGGTGTTCCCAATTTTTCATTGTTATTCATTATAAAACACCAAATAAAATGTCAGTATGGATTAACAATGACGTCAGTCATCGCTGGTTCGATGTAAGGTAGCGACGTATCGTTTGCGGCATGAGCGATGCCCGCGTTTCTCTCAAAACCAAAGACGCCGACGCGAAGCTCAGGCGTTTTTTAGAAGCTGTTTTGCCAGGAAGTTTTTGCCCACTTTAAAGGGTGCAGTTTTGCTCAAAGACCAAAGCGACTGAGGGCGAGAAAGAGGGTAACCCTCAGAGGGTCATAATTACAGGGCACGTCAGCAGTGGCACTCGACTGGCACAGAGCAGTGGCATTTCTAGTGGCATGCCCTGGCTGACAGTTTGGCACCGTGGCATTACGCAGGTAATATCGCTAATGTTGACTGACGTAAGATGTCTTCTTTGAGCGTCGAGTATGTCTTTTAATACAACTATGTTTATTGTAAAATAAATTAATATTATTTCATAAAATCAGTACGAAGTTTTAAACATTTCATTATTCCTCCTCTCAAAATATATTGGATTCCAACCACTCTAGAGAATTTGGACAAATGACGCCAAAAACTTGAACTTTTTTCAATATATCTGATCTAGGATAAAGACGCTGATAATTGATTGAACTCTTAGGCGAAAAAACAAAGTCTAATAAGAATTTATAATCTTTAAATGCGACCCCTAACAATAATAACTCGATTCAACACGAGTTAACTAATACAATCAAAAGGAATACCTACTAAATGCTAAGGTAGAAAATTGGTATTAATTAAAAGTATTTGAAATTATTCACCAGATTATTAATAATTTTTAACACGTTTTTCTTAGCTTAGCTTCGCGTTTGTTTGTTTGTTTGTTGTTAACATTGACAACGAAAGTTAGCCCACTTCTGATTGTTCTAGAGATCTGAAATTCGGCATGCAGGCTATTTTCGCCTAACAATTTCAGATACAATCATAAAAAATAGTAATTAGAGACCGAAATTAGTTTAATTGAGAAAGGAAATATATAGTATGACGTGCGGGCGCTTACGTTATAGACGAGCAGGCGCTAACGCTGCGTATCATCGATACGCACGTTAAGTCATACTTGATCAAGTCTTAATCGTTTTTCTTGTGGACTAAAAAGTAGAAAATAAAATACTTAAAAAATTTTTTTTAAACCACGTTTTTCTTGTGGAATAAAAAGTAGAAAATAAATTATGGTTCGCCCCAAAAAAAAACGTGTGTCGGGCAGATTTATGATTAAAGCGAAAAACACACAACACACGAATTTTGGAAATTTGATGGTGAACGTACAGCCCGACCCACGTTTTTTGGGGCGAACCATAATTTATTTTCTACTTTTTATTCCACAAGAAAAACGTGGTTTAAAAAAAATTTTTTTAAGTATTTTATTTACCCTTTTTTCATTATTTTATAGCATAATTTAAAAAAAATTCCAGACATTTTTGATGACATTTGACACCAGAAAATATCAATATTGATATTTAAAGGAAACACAACATTTCTTCACGTTAACATTGGCAACGTTTATACTTCTACCCATGAACCACTTCCCCTATTTCTACATCCTCGACCGTCCCCACTCCGTCCCTGAATGTCCCATTAAGACCACAAGGACAATTTGCACCACATGCCACCGTTCGGTCCGTCTGTCTCTCTGTCCGTGTGTCCTCATCTCGAAGCCTCCGTCAAATTACCCTCAAACCAGCACTAAGGCCCTCAGCTTCCTACCCTCAGTCGACCGTGACCGCTGAATGTCTTGCTTACGACAGCACTTAAATTTAGATCCTTTGTGTTCAAGCTATGAATTGACGGAACTACTCCTACCTATGACGGAACTTACTCCTACGTTCGACCGAATATACTCTTACGTTTGGAAGAACATGCTCCTACGATTGGCGGAACCTACTCCTACGATTGGCTGAACTTTCTCCAACGTTTGGCGGAACCTACTCCTACGTTAAGCGGAACATACTACGACGTTTGAAGGAAACAATTCCCACGTTCTTTCGTGAATAACTGAATCATGTAAAGCCACTACACAAAGGGTGTTCTACAAGTTCCATACTCTTTGTTCAATATTATTGACTTTTTATATGTAGGCAATGCTTCTAAACGTTCTGCAAATGGATGACATTTGGTTTCAACTTAGAAATTTGTAACATGACCGTCGGATTTGTGTGACTGATAGACAAACTTTAGAAGCCATAGATTTCCCCCATTGTTGTGGTTCTTATTCAAGTTACTGGTACAGAAATTCAACTGCTCTCGATGTTTGTTGTACGAAAGTGGACTATTATAAGTATACCGGCATGCAATAGAAACAGAATATTGCGTGCACGCAATAAAACAAAAAATTTGTGAAATAGTACAAATGAGAAATCGGCAATGACGGTTCAATGCTAATTTCATCTCGCGACCGTAATAATGTAGCAATCAACGACGTGATGATATATGGTACGGATGAGAGTTTATTGTAAGGTACAGTACAATAACAACTACACAACTCTGTTTACGTTCCTCCTCTACCAGCAACTCTGTTTACGTCCCGCCTCTACCAGCAACTCTGTTTACGTCCCGCCTGTACCAGCAACTCTGTTTACGTCCCACCTCTACCAGCAACTCTGTTTACGTCCCGCCTGTACCAGCAACTCTGTTTATGTCCCGGCTGTACCAGCAACTCTGATTATGTCCAGAAATTTAATATTTCTCTTTAAATCTGCGTATGTATGACTCATTTTGAATTTATAATAAAATTTATTAAATTTGGTACATCATTTAGAATAACCCTGTATATAGTACAGTCCACACGTGTTAGAGACCGAATATTATATTTTTAGTATCAGTAAGATAAGATTAGAAGGATAACATTGTGTAGTTCGAGGTACAGCCTACATGCGTTACAGACGGGATTTGGTATTTTTTGGCTAAATAATATAACATTAGCGTGTAATTACATTGTGTAGTTTGTAATACAGACCACACGCGTTACAGACGAGATATAGTATTTTTACGATAAATAATAAAACATTAGAGTCTACTTACATTGTGTAGTTTGTAGTACAGACCACAGGCGTTACAGACGGGCTCTCCCATGGTGTTACGTCGCCACAACGTCGTAGACGACGTCTTGCAGTTGACGCATTGCGTTCCTTCACGTCTGTTTGCCGACTGAAGGAAAATACGAATAATGAACGTTGGCACTATAGCAAAAGATGTCAATGAGTGTAACCTCAACAAATTTCGGGCAAGAAAAAACGAAAGCGGGTATGTTTTTGTACAGTTAAAAAGGCATTGTCGGAGAGAATTAATTTTCATTATAGGTTTAACGGTAATTAGGAACTTAAAGTTTTTCAGCTTTCTTTAGCTAACATCATAATACAACTACGATGAATGTTTTTTAATATAAAATGAATAACATTTATATTGCTTATTAACTATTCAAGCAATACATCTCATCCCCTCTATAGCCGACAAATAATGCAAGATTTTATCCACAGTATACTTTCGTTGCACTATTTATTCGCTTACACAGTGAGAAGCAATAATTTTCCAGCGGTTTTCTACTGACATAACAATTTTACGGCTTCTTTGTATAGGAAATTGATAAGTTTGCAGAGCACCATAATGCTATTGTAGAGCAGACCGTTGACAATAGCTAGTTTAGAGGCAATATTGTACCAACACTGGAAGCTCGAGCAGCAGCCGCTCTAGCTAACACAATAGTGACAATGGTGCTTTATTGTGACCCTAAACAGCGAGTTATTGTGATGTCATACGACACTGTGTATTGTCACGCCAATTATTGTCGGCATGCTTGCAAAAATCTCGAGATTTGTAGAGGGCAATCCAGAAAAGATCTGCCACGAAATAAAACTACATTGAGACCACGGAAATTATTACATTTTAAATATTTAACATTATTATTTGAAGTGTGACTTCCGCAGTAATTATTGAAAACTGTAGCGTTTAGTTGTAAATTAAGATTTTGAATTAGTTTGCTCCAATCGCAATTAGAAAAATAAACTTTCATTAAAATAATTTAAAATGAGTAAGAGCGACAGATAAATGGATTCAAAATTAAAACTATTCTAAGAGCAAATGAAACTATAACAAACTGAAAAAAATTCCTCTACCTGTGCCACAATAGGCAAAAACTTACAGTGATTTAGTGAACAAACATTTTACTTTAATTTAGAACGTAGACAATTAAAATAATTTAAGTCACGGTCGATTTTCCGCAATTTATTACGCAATTTACAGCGTAAGCAATTTAACAAAATTTACAACGTAAACAATTCAGCACAATTTAGAGTGTGAACTACAAATTGGAGTTCACAATTCAACAATTCATAACAATTGAGAGCGTAAACAATTTACTCATCATATCGATGTCACTGAGGCACAAAAAGCTCTCACACACAATAAACTTTCTAGGATCTTAAGGGCCATCATAACACAATAATGATTGTGTTATCATTCAACAATTATCATCGTATAACTGCCTAATGATATCATGCTGCCCTCGGGACAGATGTTTCTATAGTAAAGTTTATTTGCCTGATGACACTCAAACAAATAAAGGGAAGCCTGCTTGAGGTTTAAACGACAAAGCAGTTAAGTCTGTTTTTCCCAACCGGTCGTTAATTGTCTCATGGGTTATATAAGCCCTACATTGAAAGAAATTTTGTGTTATTGTAATAGGAAGAGTGACGGATGAGTTTTTGTTTTCCGTTTGTATTATTTTAAAAAAATATTTTCAAAAAATGAGCTATAGTTTATGATGTTAAAATGGTAATATAGTGAAAAAAGGAAGCATTGTTTTAGTGAAAAAATTTCTATTCATTTGAAAATCGTGGTACAGTTTAGCCTACAAACACCAATCTTAGAACAGCTCTATGAATTTAAAAGTTTTATTGAATATAATTTTAATTCATTAATATGAATCACTTACCGATCTCTGTTTGGGCTTGATGAGAGGTCTGTTCTGGCCGTTCATTTTGTAGTAAAGGCCACACGCGTTACACAAATAGTGGCCGTTGCCATCGCGTCGCCACAGCGGCGTTGACGTTGCGCCACAGTTCACGCACTCGCGCCCTTCTGTGGCAAAATGTGGCAAAGTAAGAGACACAATAAATAGGAACTTCAGGCCGCTGCTGACAGCCGCGCAAACTAGTTCTGGAAAAATTGCGGCGAACACCAAAATAAAATCAAAAAGCAAAGTTGAACGTTCACGTATCATGTGCAATTAGCTCTACCCGCTGTAAGATTAAGATAGAACAAGAGAAGGCTTAATAATTAAGCTGTATTCGAGGGGGCGAACTTCCGGGCATATTTGCCGGAACAGAACACGACACCCGCGATAAATGACTGCTGGAAATTTAATTTCAAATATGAAGGCACGGAGACAACGAAATAAATTTAGATCGCAAAATAATTGACCATCGGAAAGCCAAACTAATGTGTAAAATTTCAGGACAACAATAGAAATTTAGATCGCAAAATTAATTGACCATCGAAAAGCAACACGAATGTGAAAAATTCCAGGACAACAATAGTTAAAATTCAAAGAAACACGGCCGCCCTGCTTCAAGCTTTCAAAGTCCGTAAAATACACTGAGCAGATGACTTTTTCCGAGTCCGTAATCAGGAATTGCAATGCATAGGCTTGCTTTCAAATTATGCCATCTCCACAAAAGCGGCTTGTGTCCCAAATTACAGTCTCCTCTCAGGAGGGATCTCTAATAGAGTGGGTGGGATGACTGCCCTGTCATTGACACTGAGGAAACTCGGGGCTTGGTTCTTCGACAACCAACAGACCGCTGATTGCTACTTAGACCTCGCACATGACTAGACATTAGCACCCTAGCTACAGAAACCCTAAGTAACCTGTGCCAACAAATTGGTTTATGGTGAACGAGTGAGTGTGATGTAGTGGTTCGGGTATGAGTGATGGTGATTAGCAGTTTGTGAACACATTCAATATTCTACGAGTTTAAGAGGAAAATTTGCAAACTTTTGGGTGAATTGAGTTTGTGTTTCATCTATGGCGTGAAGGGATCTTATGAATGTCGTAATTAATAACTAATTTGTCATTATCTCAAGGCAATGCATCATAAAACGAGAAATAAACTGTAAAATAATAATAAAGTTAATAATGCCTGCTTTAAAATTGGTATAAGAACCTCATTCATTGCCTATGACAAGAAAAAATATTTATATGCGACAATCAAAAACCTCAGCATTCCAACAATTTTTATTTATTAAAAACACGTGAATTTCGATTTGGTATTGGCGCATCCTCGGCATCAAATTTTTTATAAGATTTTTTCTACCTCTTTTTTATAAGTTTTTCTTTTCGAAATAAGACAACCTTCCCAGGCTGCTTAGACGGTCAAGACGTGTAGCAATTGTGTGCATTATAGAGCACCTTGCGTAGTACGCAATGATCAAATTACCAACACAATTGACTGACCAATTGATCTGAGAGATCTAGTGTTGATCCACGAGATCTTGTTTCTCGCCCCGACACCATCAGTTTATCTGAGATAAGTGAAGTAACGACAACTCTAGAGCACCCAACCTTGGCTGTCTAGCTGAACAGGTTTACACACTCACATCAAGGCGGAACGCGGCTAACAAAGGTAACGATCAAGCTAAGGTGGCGATCGAGTAGAATTTTTTGTGGTCCAAGCCTGACTACGTAATCCTGCTGTGTACTAACGTACTTCTTATATGTACCCAACATCAATTTCAGCCAAGTTAACGCCTATTACCGGGACAATAGCGTTACCTCACTTTACCTTTCGCTCGCTCAAAGGCTCTATTAGAAGCCCAGCGGTTTCGCTTTTTTAGTCGAGAACTAAACAATCGTCGGAAGCCCAAGACATCGAGCACGAGCTGTCGACAAACGATCTTATCGTCTTGCTTTGAGTGCGATTGTATCGTCTTGAAACCGACGATTTTATCTCGTCTTGATGGCGATACAATGGGTGCACCTCAAGGCAACCCAATAGATCGGCTCCTCGGCCAATAGATAATCTGCTTTCTTTCCTTGTATATTTTCTATAAAGTGTGATCAGAGAACAACTAATTCATGCCCTCTAAATAATAAGATATCACGAAAAGGTTTTCAGTGTAATTCAACGATTCTTTGAACATTGTGTGTTGGAAATGGCATGACAAATTTGGCAGGCATTACTTTGATCCACAATCTTTAATCAATGTTATGAATACTGCGAGAACTGAGTATCGACAAACAGATGTGAAATTAACTGCTAAAGTTAGACCAAAGATAAAATCTTTTATTACTTTAAGGGTTCGTTTCAAGTTCCCAACAATTTACATTAATTTTTTTCACTTCTATTACTATAATTGAAAAACTGAAACCACGATTAAAATAAATTCTGAAATAAAATAATCACACCATAAACGAGTGAACTAAATTCTTTTCGGATCCTTGTTTTTCTTCATCCAAAAGTATCACAAAATTGAATGGAAACAAAGTGTCGATAGATTGATGCCTATCAAACAATTACAAGTCTCTAGCACGCAGTTAGTTCTCAAGATTTAATAGTAATTATGATTCAGTTCCAATATTCTTTTTAAATCTTACGCAATAATTTTTCCCCAGACCATTTAATGAATATAACATTGAGCAATACTTTAATAAAATAACGATCTCATTTGTTTCGCCTCGAAATGATCTACGTATGCCAGTAAAAATATAGCGCTTCTATAATTCCGAGAAATTCGATCAGAAACAAACGACACTCGTATCTCAAGAGCTTCCAAAACACTTCAAAGCTGAGATAAATTTTGAGAGTGTGATCATCAATAGTTGTGTTAACCACATCATAATTCTGCGGAGTGTGATCATCAATAGTTGTGTTAACCACATCATAATTCTGCAGAGTGTGGTCATCAATAGTTGTGTTAACCACATCATAATTCTGCGGAGTGTGGTCATCAATAGTTGTGTTAACCACATCATAATTCATAGCACGAGAGCTAGAGTCTATAATCAGGCGGCGTGGCGGTCCCTATAAAACTCGCTAAGACAGCCAATGTTGATTTTCCAAACATGCACAAGTAGAGATTAGCATTACCCATTTTCACGGAGAATTATTACTTAATCCTTCTGTTGGATGTGGACCAATGCTCAATGCGAAATAATTTGACAACGGGTTCAGTTAAACCATAGACTTAGATCCAGGGACTAAGATCGGGACTATAAGGTCCCGGTAAAAGTATCGGGACCTTAAAATATTTGATGTCGAAATTTCCTGTCTGGCACGTCTTCGTACTCATATTGAGGAGCAAAGAACGCTGAGATCGCTGCTCGTAATTTAAGCACATAATAGACGAAGCTGAATTGCTCCCTCAGACATTTCAGCATTAAAATATTACAAGAGATATACATGACCAAATCTTAAGGTAGGTACATTAATGCCCCATCTAAAGCCAACTTTCCACCCAGCAATCATTCATATATCCAAGAGCTGGAAATTTATGGATTATAATTGGATTTTGATATTTCAGCATGCGACGATATGGCTCTTATTTTTAAAATATAATAAAAATGAACCATTCATCAGCCAGAAAATAATTCTGACACGAGGGGGTTCCAGTTTGAAAAGCATCGAAAACAGCGTTTTGATGTTGAGAATTTAATAGCATGCCAGATATTTGCTAAACTTCAAAACGAGGGACGAATTCGGGCTCAGTTGGTGCAAGTTTGACGCAAACTGAAACTTGATAGCTTGATTCCCTTGAAAACTTGCTTTGATATTCCACATTTGGATACCTTCTTGACGCTCTATTATTACCGATAATAAAATTGTCTCTAGGTACTCAATAAAATTGACAGTGTTTCCGGTAACAATACAAATCGATAAGAGAACTTGATTAAACGCTCACTTTGTCAGAGGAACAATTCGCCAGAAATATTTGAGGTACGAATTTGAATAATGATATGGTATTCCATACTGCCATCTGTGCGAAATTAACAACGTTATAAAACGTTCGACTGATTTCGAGTGATGAAACTTGTTTATTCAGGGGCCGCGAGGCAGGAAGGTAGTAAGTTTGCAGGTGTTACTATGCTAATACGTGGCCGTGATTGCAAGAGTACTGGTTGAGGTGTGTTATTTCGATGCATTGAGGAAGTGATAGGTTGATTTAAAGAGGAACGCACCGTATCATTCATATCGCTCGTAATGACGCCGGAAGTTTGTATAAATTTAGATGTTACGCGTGCTAGGTTTGCAACTGTACGTGTTGAAGCTATTGCGGTGGAATAAATGAATCTATATTACTTAGCTTTTTGAGTTTTTAAAGCAAAATTTTTTCTCTGGGCGGATTGAAGTGCATGCAAATTTTTCAATAACCAACATAACATAATAACCACCCATCACAATGAGGCGAAGGTGGTAGATTAAAATACAAAAAATAAAACACAGTAAGGGAATATCATCAGGCAGGCTCACCTGTATTCGAACGTTTGTTGTTCTTGTTCTTGTCCCCCGGTGAGGGTGAAGTGGTGGTCATGCCGAAAGGAGATTTCCCCAAAACAGAAGCCATGCTGCCCGGGAAATATCCGCTTGCATAGGCCGAGGATCCGAAATCCACTGCCCCATGCGAGTGTCCAGGGTATCCACCATATGAGGCGTGGTGCCCATTGAGGTGTGAGGGGGATAGGGCGAGGGATGCTTTGGATTCGAAGGATTCTGCCGTGTGGAAGCCATTGAACATGGACGCTGAGTAGGCAGAGGGGACTAAAGAATTGTTGGGCACCGCCAACGCTGAGGATGAGTCAGCAGAATTATTGGAGTTAATTGCAGCGGTGTTAGAGTCACTGGATGGCAGAGCGTTAGAGGTGGAGTTGGAGTGAATATTTAAGGAAAGATCTTTTAAGTCGTTGGTGCAGTTGGGGGTTTGTGAGAGGGACGGGGAGGCTGTGACGCGGTCGGGGCTCATCCGACCTGAGGGGATTTGAGGGTAAGGAATTAATATAGTTATAGTTATGGGTACATACATTTTTGGGGAAGTCTAATTGCATATCAATGTATAGAGGATGCCAGTTAGAATGTTATTTAGCAATTTATTTAAATTGTAATCGATAGTGGTTGAATGAAATAACTATGTTCCAAATAAAACCTTTTCTTCAACGATGATTTTCAAGGATCAACATCGGTTTGAATTATTTTGTCGATTTGTCACAAATAATCGAATATTTCTATAAATTATCATATACATGCAGAATTATTTAGATTCAAGATCTGGTCATTTGACCCTCATTAAATGGAGAACAATTTGCAAGGTAATCCAAATTCAATAAAAATATAATCGTGATAGAAATATCATTTCAAACCAACGATCCTTCATTGCAGTTAAGAATATATATAGGTAATATTAACGAGGCAATAATCCTACATCATTACAAACAACAGAAAACTTCTAGGATACAAACAACATAAAACTTCTAGGATACAAACAACATAAAACTTCTAGGATACAAACAACATAAAACTTCTAGGATACAAACAACAGAAAACTCGTAAGAACTGACTTGCTGCATCAGTCGCTGCGTGCGCTGCAATGGCTGGACTGCCACTAGCCATTGCTTGTTCTTGTTGTAACTGTTGTTGTTGTTGCTGTTGTTGCTGCTGTTGTTGTTGATGGTGATGGTGTTGGGCAAGAATACCGTGGGTATCTTCAGGTGGGGTTGGTGGGTATGGGTAACCATACGCATGTTGAGGTGTGTAATGTTTGCCGAAGGTCTGCCAGTTGTACGAGGAGCACGCCATCTTGTCTGAAGCACCTACGTGAAAAAATAGCAGCAATTGTGATTAGTCTTCGTAATTAAGTCTTCGTAATCACTAAGCAATTAAGATTCGCAATTAATAATCAGTTAGGCTTAATAATTAATAACTAAATTCTATTAACTCGTTATTACCAGGAGATGAAAGCCCATGGTGAATGATTAATAATTGGCTAATTTTTATCTAGTTATCAATTAATACATTAAAGCAGTGAAAAATATGAAAATTTTCTTTAATGAATTTCATTCATTGGCAGCTTACAAGTTTATGCTGTATTATAAATACATTTGAATTAAATCACGAGGGTCATGGGTGAAGCCAATCAGTTCTCAACTTTATAGTGAAAACATATTAATTTAATCGTGAACTTTTCTTGCAAGGTGATAAACGATAATGGTAAACACAGTCTTTAGTGTGAAGGAAACTTTTAATGTAAATGTAACGTTTTGTGCAATAAAGTATTTTACTGGGACCGTTATTTAAATGAACATTGAACCTGCCACTATACGCACGACAGAGTGATGATGGTACAGAGTGATGATTGTACAGAGTGATGATGGTACAGAGTGATGATGGTACAGAGTGATGATGGTACAGAGTGATGCTGGTACAGAGTGATGATGGTACAGAGTGATGATGGTACAGAGTGATGATGGTACAGAGTGATGATGGTACAGAGTGATGATGGTACAGAGTGATGA